CTCAGCCGTTGGTCGGCACTAGTGTCCACAAAGTTACCGAACTAAGGGTTTCCGCATCAGCTATTATAGCTTTGAGTAAAAACTCTCAATGACTACACAGATGTGGTCGGCGAAGAACGGAATCCTCAAAGCCTCGTGAATGTGCCTGTTCGAAAGTACGAAGGTGCACCTGAGAAAAGAATTGGTTAGTACATGGCGGAAGAGTATCAGAAAATTTTCATCCAAGTGTCGGCTCAGGAGGCGCGCGGCATCTCCATTGGGCACCATGATGAAAAGTGAGATATCAAAGCTTACAAGGATGTCCTCAGGACCAGCATAGAGGGACTAAATGGCCTTGACGAATTCCATCGAGTTCCTCATGTGGCTTGGAGTGTGTACCACGCATTCACCAAGCTGCCCAGCCAGATATTGGGACAGGCGCTGATGGGAATGAGCTGGACCCTTCCGTTCTGTGTCACTTGGTTTATCATTTGGTTGTAAAGGATTTTCAGCCTTGTAATATTTATGATGTATATGTGGTTACAACCATTGCCATGGAATGGTGATTTGCTGTTAAAGGATTTTTGGCTTCATGGAATAAGTACTATCACGGTACTGTTGTTACTGGATGAGCTCAGTCAGTATAGTGACTAGCTACGGGCTGGACCGCCGGGGTTCGATCCCCGACGGGGGGCAGAGGATTTTTCCTCTAGCCTCTGCATCCAGACCAGCTCTGGGGCCCACCCAGCCTCCTCTACAATGGGTACCGGGGTCCTTTCCAGGGGGTAAAGCCGTCCGGGGCGTGATGCTGACTAGTCGCCCCATCTAGTGCCGAGGTCAACACCCCAAGCGCCTGTACGGCACGTAGCGGACAAACTTTACTGTTGTTAATGGAGGCCTACTATGTACATGTACTTCTATGCAATGAAAAAATTATTGTGACCTGAATACAAGGCCATATTTGAGACTGTGGTACATAAAATCATTTTATATCCTTTAATTTGCTAAAATAATAAAGGTAGTTGGGGCACACTCTGTCTCTCACTTTACTGGTCATCATTTGTATAGATACTGTATGACCAGTCACTGTCCACATCAGTGTTTGGAATTTGCTATGCATGATGGAGATTCTGGCCTGGCTTGTTACAGCTTAGATCACGGAAGCAGGAGTTTGCTGCACCCCCATATTGAGTGCAATGTAGAAATATTATTTTGGATGGTAGTGTTGAGCACGAGCTCTGGACACTGACAAAGAAAACAGAAATGATGCTGGGCGCACTTGAAAGGAAGATTTTGAGAAGAATCTTTGGACCAGTACAGGAAAACTCAAAGTGGAGGATACGCTACAATCATGAGCTATATAGACTATATAAAAGTGATGATACAGTAACTCACATTAAACTGAGAAGGTTGGAATGGGCTGGACATGTCTACAGGATGGAAGAGTATAGGTTACCCCAAAAAATATTGGAAGGAACAATATATGGGAGAAGGCCAGTGGGAAGACCTGAAGGTAGATGGCTGGATGCAGTGATGACCGACTCCAGAAATCTCCTTGGAACAGCAGCTTGGAGAAGGATAGCGTTGGATAGAGAGGATTGGAGGAAGAAGATAGAGGAGGCTAGGGGTCGATTTTGGGCTGTTACGCCATAGTAGTAGGTGGCTTGAGGTGCATTTATGGACCACTAGCCACAAACAGCTTCAGAAACAAAACTGTAAGTGCAGGTAATGATAAGCTTGATTTATACATTTTACACATAAGTAACATTAACAAATTGATGGTGCTCATTATTTTGCTTGACAGAATAGAAAATTTTTTTCTTTTATATTCTCATAGTAATGAAGATGTCAACTACAATTTTTAGGTTGTGATGTTCTGTAACCTTGTGGATGGTTCCTAACATACCACCAAAACATTCAGAATTATTTTCATACTTGAGTACATATTATGGTAAATATCTTATTAAGTACTAGGGCTCCAAAAGTAGCCTGTGCTTAAACTAGATCATAGAAATTGTAAATAGCAGGCACAATTCTATTCACACACTCTATATCTGTCCCTTAAATAGCAAACTTTTTTTCTTCAGCAGTACACCTCCCACATTAGACCTGAAATCCACGAATGAAACTGCTCTTTCTACAAGTACTATAAACGTGTGAGCAATGTTGTGTTAATTTTCGTAGGGTACTGTTCATCCAGCTGCCGAAATTCCAGAGCACACTTCTTTCTTTCTGCAACACATCCAGTTTCATTATAGAGCAAAGCCTGAAACAAAGGGAAAGATTTATATTTTATATTTCTAAAAAAAAGCTGCTTAGAGGTTAAGTAAAATAGTAAGATCTAAAAATACATATCTGTATGAAATGGTTTTCAAATGAAGGTAAACTCTAACAGTGTCCTTAGTCAAGTAGAAAAGACTTCTTCTTCTTTATTATGCCATCTCCTTTACAGGAGGTTGGTGACATATTATGAACAGGATTCTTGTTCATATATGTTTTTTAGGCAGGTGATACAGAAGTGGTTTGCCATTGCCTTCTTCTGTGTGTATGGAGTAATTGTTGGGATGCCACGGAGAAACCGGGAAAGCCCCCGGAGGAAAACTCCGTGTTGCCTAGACCACGGCCTTGCCCAACACAAGTTATAAATTTGGGCACCACAGGGAATCAAACCCAGGACCCCAGGATTATAAGGCCAGCGTTCTAACCGCTAGACCACCGTGGCGTAGAAAAGACTACAGTTCACATATTAACATGAACACAAACACAACTTTGACTGCATATTATTATGAATACGTTTTACTTTATGGCAAAGGCAGCTTACAAGTGTCCAGTTTTTCCTCCTATAAATGAAATACAAATAAGTTTAGATTCTCAAACAGTATGAGCGCTATGTGTAAGTACCAACATGGAAATGCAGACACATGATCACAATGCCTGACGTCTGAAACATTGGTGGACATCTACCAGACTACACGGCGCAATAACCCAGAAGACATTAATCTTCAGGCTCACCACCGCGAAAACCTCAAATCCTACAAAAGCAAAACAAAATAGTGATACTAGAAAGGAAAAATTGTTGATTCTGGGATATTGCACTGTGTAGTCAGTACTTACCAGTCTACATTTAGACAAGCTTATGGTCTCTGCTGTCACCCTTATGACAGAGGCAGGAAGCTCCTCTGAAAACATCTACATGGTGTAACATCCCAGAATACAGCCATCTTCATACTCATTGCTATGAGGAACTCAAATATCACAAATAAAAACTGGACTGAGACTTGATTCCCATTTTTCAAAATGTCCTATGTTAAAGACAGAATGGCGAAGGTATAACTATAATTCTTTGGTATAATTCTCAAAGAAAAAAATTACCTGTAAATAAAGTACATCTTTCACTCTACAATATGATTCCACCTTCTGAAAATTTATTTTTGCTTTATTCAGCATGTGAATAGCTTCAGTTACAACTTTCTTCCGGGCTGGCCAGTAACAGCAGCAACTTTACATTTAGCAAACAGCAGTAATGCCCTTCCTTGATCATAACTGCCACCATGAGAGAGAATTGGCAGAAATGACTGATCAATCAATTTTAATGCCTGTGAAGGCAAACCAATCTGCAACTGAAGAGAACATACAATTTCTTAAGCTTTTATGAATGTGTCTGAGATAATAGAATTATTACATGAAATCATATTTGGAGATATATTTACAAGGCTTGATGAAACAGTATCGACAATTAAAACTGTAAAATACAAGATACTGTGCTGACAGGGTTGATAAGTTAATCTCATTCAAAGCGCACTCCTTCAATAAAGAGTGTGTTCCTAAGATATACAAGGACGCTTATACAGAGAAAAAATTACACATACTAATACCAAAAGTGATTTTATGCTAATGACATCTTAAGTATAAAATTTGACTGCAGTCATCCACAAAAACAGAGATGTGATGTAAATTAAGCGCTAGCCAAAATTTATTGAAGAATGTTCGTTCAACTCTATGAAACATGTACCCATGTAATACAGCAAGTCTATGAATTATCTGAATCATAAAACACAGTGTTCTAAAAGGGCGGTCTTCAAATGCTAGTTACTATTTTATACATGACCTAACTAAAGTACACTCCATGCAGCAGCCATTCTTGTGCTCACATTATGCTGAGGAAATCAAGAAATACCTTGCATTTTATGGAACCAAATGGTTCACTACCATATTCACAGGAGACCACGGCTGATCTTGAGCCAGATGAATCCAGTCCACAACCTCCCACCCTGTTTCCCTAAGATTCATTTTAATACTATCCTCCTGCCTAAGACTATGTCTTCCAAGTAGTCTCATCACTTCAGGCTTCCAAACCAAACTTTTGTATGCATTTTTCAACTCCCCCATGCATGTTACATGCCCCACCCATCTCACCCATGATTTGATCATCATAACATTTAATGAAGACAAAGATACACACACACCATGTAATTTTTTTACCACAAATGGAAAAGTTATGATTTTACAATGGGTATTTTTCATATTTCTTTTTTCTTTCGGTGAATAAATAGGCTGAGTTCTACAGTACTGTCCCTTTCTTTTCCAGGTATCTCACTAAGTAACTGAATTAGGATTACTGAAAGTTCCTGAATATGAAATAGAATTCTTCCTGGAAAATGCTGCCTGAAATCTGTGCGATTTATAGTCCAGGTTTGTTTCTAAAATATAAGTGCATCTCATGGCCCAGAAAATACAGTTCTCCTATTTGTAGCATTTATTGATAGGAAATGTGTGCAGCTGAACAGCGTACTGCTGTTTTATTTGTATGTGAATGAGAAAAGCTGGGACCACTTACATAGACCATGCATTTCTGTATCCCTAAGCACTACAAGTTCTACTTCACTGGTTATTCATACCAAAGTTATAATAAAACTCTTACAACCAAGAGATGCCAACATAATGTAATGCCAACTAGTCCATGACTGTGGCAAACCTGCGTACCTGCAAGTTTGCTAGATGAAGAGAGATTAGAGCAGCCAGGAAGTCCAAATAATGTAATCTGGCTAGAGCAAGTGCTGTGGTGAGAAGAGAGATGGATCCAGCTGGGGCACTGGTGGCAGTTGCGCAACAGGACTGTAGTTCTGCCGCTAAAATCAAAGCTCTCACACGCAATGACGGGCATACACATTCTGCCTCAGATCGATGTCGGCAGTAATCCAAAACACTGTGCACATATGCAGCGGCCCCAGGGTAGTCACCAATAGCAATGAACAGTTCAGCTTTCCTGTTAGGGAAATATGCCGTATAATTAATTTCATAAAGTGTCTTTGATTTTAAGGCGCTCTTGTGCAGACATATCATACACTAATTTATGCTGGAAGGACACTCAAGCCCTTTCATGGTTATATTCATTTAATTATTCTTGGCTTATTAACAACACTTTCAGCTGCTTCAGTTATATCTTTTATGGTTAGTAAGAAGGGCTTAAAGTCAAATTTAATTTGTAATGATGTAAGTTCTTACTAAGCACCACAGGTATATCATGGAATATATGATATATTACTGAGTAATGAATTGGAACGGCCTAATTTAAAGTAACATTCTGGCATTTACCAAGAGTTACTGAGTAAAACAATAAAAACTCATTCAGGATAGCCAGTCTCTGAGGTGAGATTTTAACCTGGCACCTTCCAAATATGAAGCAGGAGTACTGTCCATTTCACTGATGCTTGATTGGCATGCATGTATATTTATGTATAAATGAGTGAGGACTTAGCTGTCTTCTGGATTATAGTGCCATGTAGTCTGGTAGAAGTTTATCAACGTTTCAGAAGTCACTGCTGCCTCCTTCATCAGGGTGATGAGTCATCGCCCTGATGACGGAGGCAGAAGACAGCCATCTTTGTACTCACTGCCATGAGAATCTCAAATAATACAAATGAGGACTTAATAAAGTTTGCAAGTAAATTAATATTCTTTACTTATGCTTGCATGTATATATGGCCTTCTTTGCTTTTACGACATTTGTAACAAGCTACTACATTTGGTTATTCAGTGGAATTAATTTAAGACTAATCCTTTGAATGTTCAGATTAACTAAAACAAATTTAATAATCTATATCAGTGTCCTTATTACAGCCATTGAAGCATAAAGGAAACATGGCAATCTTACTGCTGAAGATTTTCAGATATTTTTGATCATACAAAACTTTTATCCAAAATATATTTTATATTGATCCTTGTAGATCCAGGCCACTCTGATTATATTTTCTGAAAGCACAGGAAAATGTAAGAAGTCTCAATGAAAACAGCCTGGTAGAGGGCAAAAGATCTTATTAACCACAAATTTAAGACAGAATGAGCCAAAATAAGTAAAATCAATGTTGAATTCCTGATTCTATGAAACTAAATACTTTTACTGAAATACCTAAGTTGACTTTCGCATTTATTGATGGCTGCCAGACATGTTACTGCATGTTCTGCTTCCTGCCATTTTCCATGGTGCATAGCTTTGGTAAAGAAGAGTATCTGCTCACAAAACATCCATGAATGGGAAACTGGCTCATGTGGAAACCTTTCTCTTGCATTCAGTAAAACAACTGTTGCAAGATGATATTCACCCTGAAACAAGGTGTGATAAACATTTATTTATTTATTTATTTTGTATCCAAATACACACCATTCAAAGTAGAAATCATTAAATAGAGTAATATTAATAACATAGAAATAAAAAAGGAGGTTGGGGAAAATTTAGTATAGAATAAATACAAAAGTAAATTTACAACATATATACAAAACTATATTTGAAACCAATATCGGGCATGAAGAATGGCAGTGTCTGTACATGTAGCCAAATTTTAATTTGTACAGGGAGAATCTAAGATGGGGCAAGTCAGGAGATGATCCATTGTCTGTGTTTGTCCACAGGAACACTGGTCAGACATACAAGGATATCCCCATCTCATTAGGTTTGCCGCACACCTGCCAGTATAGGTACGGAGTCTGGTGATAAACATTGCTGCACCATTAGTGTATCAGACAGAACATCAAAACATCAACACTGAGTATTAAGAGAATTTCATGTATAATATGTACTCTTTGTGCTCAAGTATGTTATTTTGTGTGCACATGTATAAATTCAAACAAAACCAATCCTTGTCTAAAAGAATGCCAACTCTGGATAATGTTTTATACCATGAACTTACTGAAGATACCGATAATATAAATTAATGTCGGATTAGTGGATCATGAGGATGCAAAGAGTGCATGACTGTGGTCTTGGTAAGGCGACAGTTCCAATAATTGTGTAGCAATTCCCACGCTCTATTTGAATATTCCTATTTTTTGTGTAAGGTTCATGATAATGTTCAAGCAGCTCTGATATCAATACACTTTTCTTCTGTTAATACTCAATAATATTTGGGTTTAGTGTTTACTGACATGCCCAGTTTTGACTTTATTAACAACTCAAATTCCAGGAAACTTACCCTGAATTTTCTCTGACACTTTCTGGCATGTACTTCACATAATATCCGTACAAAAATGCTTGATGCTGTAATGTAAACTTATCCACACCCAACACAAAACAATAAGTCACACAGAAATATAATACCACTCCCTCTTGTCACAGCTGCTGACTTGCAGCAATTAACCCCTTAAGTGGGCTAAGCTCATGTATGCGTGTTATTTCTGTCATGCCTCAATCGAGTGTTCTGCCATCTAGCAAAAAAATTTTTAACTCAGTGGTGCTGCTTGAAGTCGTAGTATGTGCGCTCATACCAAGATTTGGATGGTAGGGAAGAAATAGGCAACCAAGCATGACAGAACAGTAGTTTTAGCTGTAATGATTTTCTCCTAATTGATGGAATTTCAAATTATTTCTTGAATTATGTGAACAGTAGCTCCCCGCAAGACATTAAAAAGAATTTATCGTGAATTACTCCACTAAATCCAATGGGAAAGCAAATAATAAATGTTTAAAAAAAATGTGGTGAAATTGTTATTAAAATAGCTACAAATTTAAACATGAAAATTTTTATTTCCATACCTAATAAATATGTATTGTCCATAATATATAAAAAGTTCACCATTATTTTTAATAAAATAAAAAGGACCCTCCTGGTGATGCAATGGAATAAAGTTCGCCCCCACTTAAGGGGTTAATGATCATTCATAATGGGATGGCCATGCTGTATCACTTATCACATATCCTCACTGAAAAACACTGACTTTAATAAGCATAATGCCTAATCTATAGAATTATGTCAATGTAATCTCATGTACACAAGAATTACAGTTTTCATGTGGGACTTTTACTGTACTACGAAGCTGTGTCAATATAGGTATGCAAAACAAAAAATATTATACTTCTGAGCAATGTATTTTAAACACACTTTGTTGGTGCTAATGATGCCAAATTTTGGTTCCAAATTACTTGTACATTCTGAACTTCTCTTCTTACATAAAACTATAATAAATTTGGAGAAGACCTATCTGCAATTAATGAAATAGGAGTTATCCAAAAAAAATGTATACATGCAACATAAGCAAAAACACATAATGCAGGTATCAAACATACCTGGTCCATGAGTATATCTGCAACATTGCAAATTGCCTGGCAAGTGCCTTCAGCATTATATGAATGGATTCCTTGCGTTGGATTTGCAGTATTGAGACGCAGTAGCAACTGACTAGATAGACAAGACATTTCTGTTTTTCCATACAGACACCATAAAGCAGCTTTCTGAGCATAACTATTTGTTATGAGCTCAATCATGGACTGCTGACAGTTTAATGCATCACTCTTCACCAACAACTGCAAAAGCACGTGAATGAAGAAAATAAGTATTATCACTAATGTAATTTTTAAGTGCAACAATAACAGCAGCAGCAACAATGTAATTACTATAATTATAATTTTTAAATGTATTATTAAAACCATTTTTAATAAAATAATTAAAGACGACTGCAACACAAGAATTATTAAGATTTCTGTCTTCTGGGTTGTTGCGTTGGTTAACATCTACCATACTACACGGCGCAACAACCCAGAAGACAGAAATCTTCATACTCACCGCTGTGAAAACCTCAAATCTTACAAGAAGTTGCTCTTTGTAAGAAATCTGCATTACAAAATATTATGATGTTCTTTTTTATATTTCCCAATAAATTATACAGCTAATTAAATTGTTCTTTACCCATTGGAAAATACTTTAGAAATCCCGATCATATTCCACATCCTTCGCAACCCAGCATTTCTCATTAATGTAAGATTGTTTTGTTATTTGGTTTTATAATAATGACATTTGTTACGGTAGCATAGTGTAATTTCGGATTATGGAATGATCTGACCCAAGTATATATGCTAACACTGATGATGGTCTCATGAGGACTGAAACATGTCTGTTGTACAACAAAATAGTATAGAAGAGAAGTTTGTTTGTAAGACTCTGTACAAATATCCACATGGAATAAAAGGTTATAAGAAAAAGATGAGTTGGATATGTAGCACACATGATGAAGATGAATCATGAAAAATTCAGTCAGAAAACTGAAAGGGACAGACCACTTATGAGACCTAGTTGTAAGTGAAAGGTTTAATGTTAAACGAATGTTACAGAAACAGGGTATGAGCAATAAAAGAACAAAGATGTAAAGAAACAAAGATTTCTGTCTTCTGGGTTGTTGCGCTGTGTAGACTGGTCGATGTTAACCAACGTGTCAGAGGTCATACTGCCTCCGTCATCAGAGTATGAAGATTTCTGTCTTCTGGGTTGTTGCTGTGTAGTCTGGTCAATGTTAACCAATGTTTCAGAGGTCATACTGCCTCCGTCATCGCCCTAAACCAGCGTGCATTCCGTATCACCGGTCTGAAGCATGATGCCTCAGACCGCACGGCTACGGAGCAGGACAAGATAAGCAAGTACCTTACTGAAATATACATGAGTATGAGGGAGTGCTTACATCAAAAACCAAAGCTGGCTTTCCACCTGTGACTCCTGCATATTGGGCAAAAGACTGAATACCAAGTGAAGAAAGGTAACAGAGGCCCAAATCACCGCTTTTTGATATCGACCTTTCCATCAATTTCTCCTGTAACATGAAAAAGACACACGTTATACACAAACAGTGGTAGAAGATAGGTTATACGTTACATCTTTTACAAAGGAATTGTAGAATAACAAACCTTATTCTGATCGCTGAGCTTATACAACCATGCCAAGGCATGCTGAAGGCAAACATTGTCATTAACTTCATGGGCTGTCATGACTGCTTCCTTTAGAGCAAATAATGCTTCCTTCCTGAAATAATTCAATACAAAAAAAAAGTGTGGTCCATGCAGTTTTCACAATAAAATCTATTACATTAAGTATCTAGGTAAGGCCAGATATCTGCAATGTGGGATTTTTCCCTTTAATTATACATCCGGCATGACCGTGGTCATTCACCTCATGCCAGGTCAGGGGCACATTTACCTTTCCTCTTAAAATAACTACTACAATTTACTAAATTAAAATCTTATACACAAGGAGTTCGAAATATTAACTTTTGTTTTAAAATGCTATAAAGAATATTTTGTAGTAAACACATTTACACATTTTCAGCTGTTAAAAAGGGTTCAGAAACAGCTGTTAGTCGTTAACAATTTGAGATCAGATGGTATTCCAATATCAAACTAATGTGTGCTAGATAGTTGTAGAGCAGCAGGCATATTTAACCCTATAAGCCTAATGGTAACTATATGTCCCACCTGCTCCAAGAATCAATAATTCATTTTGTATTTATGGGTTGTAAATGCATTTATGGGTATCAGTGTAAACAGGGATTATCCTTATACAGCATCAGCCAAATGATCTTCAGCTTTAATGTGCTAAATGTCATACCAATGTGCACTAGATGGTTAAACAGCAGCAGGTATATTGACATACGAGAATAAAAATAATGACAAACTAAATGAAGAAGATCTCTGACAAATGCAAAAGCAGTGTGGTCATGGCAAAAAAGTTGAAAGTTTCTGAATATATGGAGGGGTTAGACAGGAAACTTTATTTCCTATAATAATATGATAATGGATGAGACAGTAAGTGTAACAGAAGACTAAGTTATAGAGTACACAGATGTGACATATGTGAACCAAATGAAAGCACCTTAGCAAACAAATTCCAAAGGGTTGTTACAAACAGTGAAGATTTTGAATAATATGTCAATTCACATAATTGTGTAGTTATGAAAATAAACCAGAAGATAGGGAAATGGAAAGATAAAATGTAAGAAGTGGAGAGCTTCAAGTACATCGAAAGGAAAATAGTGGCAAATGGAAGGGTTAAGATAAAATTACAGAAAACATTTAAAATGTAAGAACATTTTTACCAATTTGTTATGGACATACTCTGGAAATGGAAAATGTCTAAGAAGGGGAAAATATAACTCACTACATGTCCATATTAATGCAAAAGCAGAAACCTGGACACAGACCACAGCAAATATCAGTAAATTAACAGAAGTAGAAATTAAGACTATGATTGTCAAAATATAATGTTTGGATACAATTTCTGATCAAGAAAAAAAAGAAATTTTGCTAATCACATCAGATATAATTACTTCCTGCTCAGGATACAATATTGTACTGTAATAAACATGACATCGCAACAGTAACATTTATAAGAATTATGTTCTTTGATGCAGAATAAAACAAATACAACAAACTGACCATTACAACGACCACAGATTACTAAAATAAGTATCAAAATACAACTTAAGTCAATCATCCAGTAACTTACTTGTGTCCAAAATGTGCATGAAGTATTGCCAAATTCAATGCTGCATAGCGAAATGCTCTGCTGAGCTCATCTTGGTTGTTACCTTTGCTGTCTGAAACGAGTGAGTTTCTGTCGAAGCAATGGTATAAACTATCAATGGCACCACAGAATTCCTTCACGCGTAAGCAGTTCAGGTAACTTAGGTAACGCTGTACACACAAAAAAAGGATGTTAATACACTAATTTCTGAATTAAAATGGTTTTATGAACCACTCTTATGATAAATCTGTTAACTGATTTATTGTGTATATGCTGTAAAGCTCAAAAATTTAAACAAGTATATTAAGATTTCTGTCTTCTGGGTTGTTGCGTTGTGTAGTCTGGTCGATGTTTACCAACGTTTCAGATGTCATACTGCCTCTGTCATCAGGGCGATGAATATGTTATAACTCCTTGTTACATGGTCTTTCCTGAGCAGTCAACATTTATTAAGCTAATTTAAAGTTCAAGCATGCACACATTATCTGTGCTACACTGCTGGTTTCAGGGAAGTAACACTTAAACATAGTAAGACAGTTTATATTGAATTCTGTCCCCACCCCAAATAATAATAATAAAGCAAACATATGAAAGTTAGCTATTTAATCAGTTTAGTGGCATATTTCCATGTCATTCTCTCTCCTGCAGTGGGATACTTATTTCTATGAACATTTAAATAGTTCATCATATATTTCTTCAGCTCTAATCACATACATTTACTAGGTGTCACCATGATTTGACAAAAAAGGCTCAAACTAAGGACCACAAAACATCTCTTTCCAATACTCAGAACTATGACAAAGGACTAATGAACATGTCCTATGTGTTTATATACACAAAAATCATTTCATCTGCTGTGAGTGAACAGACATGACATCTACAAAGGTCATACCCACTATGTTTAAAGTAGTTCATGGCATCATGTCCACTACAATGGTTAATAATGTGACAGAAAATAGGGTTGAGTATCGCTACATAAGATTTCACCACATGTGGAAGCTGAGATTAAGTTTGTTCCTCAAAGTTTTAACACATAGGACATAACAAATACGTAAACAGTACATACATGGTACATAAACAAGTGCCCAGGAAAATAAGAATGCCTAATACTCTATCCTGTCAGTAAGAAGACGTCAATGACTGCAACCAGAATTTTTTTCTTCATTCTGTTAGTTATTTTGTTAGTAAATGTATTTAGAGACTAGATAAGCATACTGAAATACTTTCATAAATGACACATAATACCAACTTGGCTTCTCCAGACATATATCACTCACTCACTTTATGATGCAAGAAATTCTTTGAAAAGTCAACTACTTGGCTTACCAAAGAACAGCCCACTTCCTGTATGGAACCTGAAGGTTTATCGTCGTGTTCACAAAAACCCACCAAGAGACTGTCCTGAGCTAGCTGCATCCATTTCACTACAATGATTCCTATCTCACTAAGGCCCATCTTAATTTTATCCTCCCATCTACATCTAGGTCTTCCCAGTGGTCTCCTCCCTATAGGCCTCCCAAATTATACCTCTCCAATGCATGTTGCGTGCCCCATCCACCTCATCCTCCTTGATTTAATCGCCCTAACAATATCAGATAAGGAGTACAGGTCGTGAAGCTCATCATTATGCACTTTTTCTCCATGCTCTGTCTCCATCCCTTTTAGATCCAAATATCTTCCTCAACATTCTATTCTCAAATACCCTCAATCTATGCTCCTCCCTCCAAGTGAGACCAATTTTCATATCCATATAGCAAAAGTGGCAAAATTACACTGCTGCATATTTCAATCCTTAATTTTTTGGATCTGAGACAGGGGAACAGATTTTGGAATGAATGCTGGCAAGCACTCCTGAATTTAATCTGTTCTTGATTTTGTCATGAATGCCATTCTGACTTCTTAGTGTCATACCCAAGTACTTCAATTTTGTTACATTTTTTAACAATTCATTAGCTATCCTTATATTCTGGTTCTGTCCTGAATTCAGATGCCAAGATATAATCACGTATTTTGTCTTTTCTGCATTTATTTCTAGATCAACATCCCTACTAGCCCTTAAGAGTGTTTTTGTGTTCACCTTTATAGTATTTATATTATCACACGGTAGATTAATATCATCAGCATAAACCAAAAGCTTATGTGTCCCATACAATTCTAAACCACCCTAATTTTCTTGGACTTAGCTGATGGCATATTCTAAGGCAAAATTTAAAAGCAGCTGCAACAGAGCATCTCCTTGTTTCAAGCCATTCTAAATAGGAAATGTATCGGATATAAATATAAAATTAAATTACGTATTAGGCCAATTTATATTTAAAAAAACAATAAAATCAAATACAAACTGCTTCAGCATATTCAGGATTGGCTCGTAGCAGTTCTCTGATTCGTTCCTGAAGTTCTGGAGGTGAAAGTGCTGCCACTTCATTTGTCTGCATCAAGGATGCTTGCTGGGCAATGAAAAATTCGGCCTGCCTCCTAGACCAACGCACTCGTTCAGGATTAGCACTGCCACACTCCCCAGTATCAAAACTGAAAAGCAACAAACTGATATGTAATACATATAATGAGAAAGGGAAGAAAATTTGATTACTAATGCAAGAACTCAATTGCATCATCCCTCAGTTTTCCATTTGATATGCATTAAGAAAGTTCATGGTATAGACAGATTATATCTTACATGAATGTCAACCTTTTCTCAGGGAAAGCAAATGTCTGTCCATTTATTTTAAACTTCTTCCTTCTGAACACAATTGTCTAAATATGTCTGGATTGCATGCAGACACTTCTGTTCATCTGTTTTCTCTGTTCCTAATGGCTATCAAATCTCTTATTCCCAATTATCTTTCTAGCTGTGTAAGTGGTCCCACAAGATGACTCGTCAGACGTAAAAGCCATAATTGCAATATTATGCACTTTGTGGGAATTTAGCTAATGTCACAAAATCATAATTTTCTAACATAAACATTGATATTTTATCTAAAATATATAAAATCATGCTTACAAACAAAACTGTTCACACTTTGAAAAAACACTTAGTGCCAACAAAAATGCAGTAGCTGCGAGCAGGTCTATATTGACAAAACCGGTAGGGAATTCACAACCAGATTTAAAGAGCATGTCCACAACATTAGATTCAACTTAACAAAATCAAAATATGCTCAACACATCCTCGACCACAGACATGAATATGGCGCCATGGAATATATGGATGTATTAAGAATAGCCTCAAAAGGCAAAATGCTTAATATTTTGGAAAAATTTTACGTCTACAAAACCAGCAAAAAGCTAAGCATCATAAATGAACAGAACACCCATGACTTCAATGTGTTATTTGACCTGGTAATAAACAGAAACAAAGTTAAATTTCATGTGCAATAAATGGCCACACTTTTTTAGAACTGACAGTAATACCCATGGAATGTTGAAATTCACAATCCAGGCACAGGCAGTGCAACCACGGCCCACCGTACACCAACAACGGAAACCTCAACTTAGGACAGTGGACCTTAAGTTAAGTAATTCAATTTAGATAATATACCAACTCATGTGCAATTAAATGCTCAGTGCGGTATTACATGAAGTATGGTTTTATAAAGTGCAACCTTTTATATGCTCAGTGCTTTATAACAAACCATTGTCTTATGAATTGTGTGATTTAATAGACAGACTAACGAATTAATGTTTTTGCCACTGATGATGACCTCTTGAGGTCAAAATGCGTTTGGCACTAAGTGTTTTTTCAAAGTGTAGACAGTTTTGTTTGTATGCATGATTTTATATATTTTAGAAAAATATTCAACACTGCATGGTATGCAAGGTTTTAAGATTCATATTTTAGTTGATGTCATATAATTTGCACAACAAATATTTCAAATTACAAAAACAATGTATGATAATTTAACTTTCCACTATGCTGTTAGTTTCACACTTCCTGTTACCTTGACAATTGATTTCCTGGAATCTGTTTTGATGGTTCTTCAACAGGCAGTTTCTCATTATCACACAAACTAAAATCCATATCACTTTCAGACCGTTTTCCCTCTTGCGCAGTGTCTACAGTGAGCGGTTGCTTAGTTACGCTCCTTTCATAATAAAGCTTAAAGGCTTGAAAAATTCCAACAACTTGAGAAAATGACAGTTTGTCAAAAATTACCATAATCCTCCGTATGTACAAACCTGAAACAATTAACATATTTCTTTGTACATGAATTGAGTGGATTGAATTATTTTACTGACACAACAGTATGCATTTAAGTTATATTTTCAAACATCTTTTTAAAGAGGCTGAAAAATGGTATCCAGGAACAATCCAAACCCACATTCTCCATTAGCCAGAAAAACACAGTCAAAAAGTTTCACAACATTTATGAACATCACTTCTAAAGGATCAAAGTAGCTACTGTCAAAATTAGCCAGTTTAATGACATAACATCCATGAACTGGAATGTAAAGCTGTTAATATACGTACAAAACATATCAGAACATAACCTTTGTGTTCACACTGAATAAATTGTTATTTTTAGGTTAGGTGAGGTGACTGGGGGCCTGACTTTCCAACTAATAGCTGCCATCAGTTGGCTATCTTGACAACAGCCAGTTCCATTCTTTAGTCATAACAAATGCAAGGGAAATTGTTTTGTACTAAATACTGAATATGACTTGGAAATTATTAGAATTTCATGCTTCAGTACTGTGCTGAAATTATGTTGCCAAGCTTAATGGCAGAAGAGAGTCTAATCTGATGACATGAGTAAAATATTAGGCATAATAATTAAAAATTTATTATCGCAGTTCCATGCATACATGTGCATTAGTCTACAAGTGTATCAGTACTAAAAGTAAAGATGATTAATATGAAAGGAGTATACTTACATACAATTAAGGAGATAACATTAAACAGTATGTAGAATGTAGCATAAAGAACATCTGGAATTTTAGTGCACTCCAAAGAGTGTACCTTTCCCATATTGATTTGTTATTTATTTAATAGTTCATTACCCACCAAGAACAACAGGAAAATTTGAAGAAGTACTTCAAAACACATTTTTATTGGAAAGTCTAACAACAGTATCCAATTTACAAATCACACACGAACAATTCTGCACACTATATAAATTGATAGGAAATGACGTTTTGATTAAATTTTATAATTAAAGAATTTCTTTTAAAACAAGTTTTAGTGAAAAAAATGTCCTGAAGATTGCTGTCTTCTGGGTTACTGCTCTGTGTAGTCTGGTAGATTTCACCAACATTTCAGAAGTCATACTGCCTTTTTTATCAGGGCAATGAAGGAGGCTGTATGACCTCTGAAACATTGGTGGATATCTACCAGACTACACGGTTCAATAACCCAGCAGACAGCAATCTTCAGACTCACTGCCAAGAAAATCTCAAATCCTACAAAAAATCTCCTCTAACTTTCCTTGTTTCTTTAAAATTAGCAGGTTGAAGGAAATTCTAACAATAGATTATTTAGTTGTATTTGTATAACAGCATGAAAAACATGAGCATATTTAAGTGATGTTTCCAAATTACTTACCAATGATACTGCTTTTATGTACAATTGGTGGGATTATATGTGAAGGTTCCACTATCAAACGCCTCAAACTCTGTATGAGGTCAAGAATACTACCCACACCTTTCTGATGAAGTTCTAGTAATTTCTTCTCAAAATTCTGTATATGAACAGTCAGCAAAGTGTATTTGCCTGATGACATTATACTCTGAAGTTCATTCAATTCTAAATCAGGACACTGCAAGCAGTTAAAAATTAATTTGTTCATACGTATATAAAGGTACTCAAATGCATCCCTAATACAAAGAAGAAATTATTATATGTATGTCATTTCAACTGTCAGCCTCCTGTTGAAATCTGCAACCAAGCCAGGATTCCCATCCCTGATTTTATTATTGGTAATATGAGCCAAAGATGGAGGGGCACCAAACACAAGGAAACAGACACTGACCCCTCCCCTCTCAAACGCAGGGAACCACTACTGACACAACAAACCAAGTTACACAAACAGCAATTTGATAGGAGCATTTAGTAAACAAAAACACAATATGTCAGCATGCCTGAGGGGGCATGATGACATTCACACAACATAATAACAAATCACAACACAGATCCAATCAAACATAATGACATTCATAGTCTCTTGTAACACAGCAGTAAGTAGATTTAACTTAGAAAACAAATGGAAACGCATCTATTGTGCAGCATCCCACTACAATGGTCACTAGCAATGGTCTGAAAACGAGTATGAAAGCAGGTCACAGCATCTAACTCTCTTGCACAGCAACTCACCACAGTGACCACTAGTAACCATTGTCTAACATAACATCACTGAAATTCAGACCAAACTATGATATTCATTTTGGATGCAAGTTCATCAGTGCTGATTCTTTGGTTATCCAAAATATATTGAGATATCTTCAACATATCTGAATCAGTGGCTGTCCATCAAGAATGTTAGTATGAAGATTGCTGTCTTCCGCGTTGTTGCGCTGTGCAGTCTGGTAGATTTCCCCCACCGTTTCAGAGGTCATATTGCCTCTGTCATCGCCCTGATGACAGAAGCAGTATGACCTCTGAAACGTTGGTTAACATCGACCAGACCACACAGCGCAACAACCCAGACGCCAGCAACCTTCAGACTCACCGCTGTGAAAACCTCAAATCCTACAAGAATGTTAGTGCTAGTCTGCCCTACTCTGAGTTCTCTGGTGCATTACAGCAATGGAAAAGCAATGTTAAACATGTCACAGTATTATCATGACTCAAAATACAATGAATATCAGTTAGGCACAACTTCAGAACATTTCTTCTTGTTTACATCTGCCGCCCTTCTCAGTGCTATCAATATCACTTTTGAGGTAAAATAAAATAAACCTCAAATTTTTATACTTTCCTTTATATGTTGTACATGTTGTTTAAAAAAATAATAATTTTCATTTATTTCAAATTATTAATTATTATTAAAATGAGAAATAACTAACTAACTAACTAGATGGCTTACCGAACCCGAAGGTTCATCACCGAATTAACCAAAGCCCTCCACCGATCCCTGTCATGGGCCTACAAAATCCAGTCTCCTTCAACTCCTATCTCCCATAGATCCCGCCTGAGATGATCCTCCCATCTACGTCTAGGTCTCCCCAGCGGTCTCTTCCCCTCAGGCTTCCCAAATAGTGGACCCAACCAACCAGATGGCTTACTGAACCCGAAGGTTCATCACCGAATTAACCAAAGCCCTCCACCGGACCCTGTCCTGGGCCAACAAAATCCAGTTTCCTTCAACTCCTATCTCCCATAGATCCCGCCTGAGATTATCCTCCCATCTACGTCAAGGTCTCCCCAGCGGTCTCTTCCCTTCAGGTTTCCCAACCAGTACCCAGTGCACACCTCTTGTCCCATCCATGCACGCTACATGTCCCGCCCATCTCACTCTGCTCGACTTAATCACCCTCACAATACTGGGGGAGCAGTACAGATTTTTAAGCTCGTCATTGTGCAGTTTTCTCCACGCCCCATCGTCTTCCCTCTTAGGCCCAAATATCCTCCCCAACACCCGATTCTCAAACACCTGCAACCTGTGTTCCTCCCTCTGAGTGAGAGACCATGTTTCACACCCATACAAAACAACAGGCAAGATTATTGTTTTGTATACTTTAATTTTCAGGTTCTTAGAAATCAGACGGGAAGACAAAATATTTTGAACTGAGAAGTAGCAAGCATTTCCGGAATTTAGTCTCCTCCTAACTTCCTCACAAGTATCATTTTGATTTGTTATTGTTGTTCCCAAATATTTGAACTTTGTAACCCTTTCAAAGGATTTATTAGCTACCCTAAGATAATTTTGCCCGCCTGTCTGCTGATGACGAGATACTAACATGTACTTAGTTTTTTCTGAATTTACTTCCAGCCCCACTTGTCTACCAGCCTCTAGTAAAACTTCTGCGTTCCTCTTTATTGTATTTATATCGTCCCCCAATAAATTAACATCATCAGCATATGCCAATAGCTGATGTGTCCCGTTCAATTGCAAACCCTCCTGCCTACCTTGGACCTTCCTGATGGCGTATTCTAGCGCAAAGTTAAAGAGCAAGGGAGACAAAGCATCTCCTTGTTTTAGACCGTTCTTGATGAGGAATGTCTCAGATACATATTTACCTACTCAAACTTTGCTACAGGTTTCATTTAAGCACATTTTTATTAGACCCACTAGCTTCTTGGGTATACCAAATTCAATAAGAATATTATAAATGAGAAATAAAAATGAAAAACTGTGACAAAAGCTCATGTCTCCAACTATCAGTCACTGGAATGCACATTCTTCTTATACAAATAAATGAATGAATGAATAAATTGTTACGTACTTACCACACATACATACACTTCCTATGTTACAAAATGTACTCATATTTGATTAAAAGCCATACATATTAATCACTTCCCTTATTATCCAAAACAAAATCAGGTTGAAAGTTTGGTCTGATTATATTATTATACTGATTATATTCACTCTACTTATATCCGAGTTAATTCATATCAGAATTTCGTGGCTATTCCATGGAATGTGTGTGTATGTGCATGCATGATGATGATGAGGAGGAGGAGGAGAGGAAGGAGAATGAACCAGAAACATTTCTGTTGACAGTAATACCTTCTACAACAAAGCAGAAATTGCAGACTCAGATTCAGATAATTCTCTTCATATACAAGCTTGAAACTTCAAGTCTGCTATACAGCACGAAACATCTTAGCAGAACCCATGACAATTCACGATATTAATTACGCTGTTTATATGCAGAAGCTTTTCTTTTGTTCCAGAGTATTTTGAAAAAATAACTAGCCTACATCAGGTTTTTTATATTAAAATCACAACATTGAACTAAATATGCTTTTTTATTCCAGATTTGAAAAATAATTCTTATGGCAAACCATTCTAAAACAAAAGACAGAATAAAATTAGCTTTACCTGAATTAACTTTAATACCAGCATACAGAAGTCTCGCCTGTGGTGTGGTTCAACAGTATAAAAGCTGCCATCATCGTACTTCAGCAGCTGTTCTGTTCGGGCTAGTAGGAAAACAGACAATTCAGTTTCATCATTTTAATTTATAAACCATATTTGATATTTTGAAATACTGAAGAATTTTTTAAACTGTTGCTGCTGCTCCTGGTATAATAATAATAATAATAATAATACCACCACTAGAACATCATTTGAGAGCCATTAAAGTGCCATGGGCCATGGCACACATTAATAAAAGCCGGGGGCAAAGGATTTTTCCTCTACCCTCTGCGTCCAGACCGGCTCTGGGGCCCACCCAGCCTCCTCTACAATGGGTACCGGGGTCCTTTCCCGGGGGTAAAGCCGGCCGGGGTGTGATACTGACCACTCACCCCCATCTAGTGCCGAGGTCAAGGAAGAGAGGAGCTATACCTCCACTCACCCCAAACGCCTACATGGCGTATAGTGGGGCAAACTTTACTTTACTTTACTTTACTTACTTGTGTCATTAGTCATTTAATTGAGATTAAACAGAAGACATTGGCAAGAACCAGAAATATAGTTGGATATGTCACTACTTTCAGAAAATCATTGTGATTTATCAAGTTGGTATATATGGTGAGAAATATACCACTTGCAATCATGCTTCATGAAAACATTCACTGAAAAACAGAGATTTATTAAACTGTCTTGCAAAGGAATGATTTAGTATCCCATGACTCCACACAGAAGAAATCACCGGAGGATATAAACTGAAGCAGAACCTGTCAAAAAAGACCACTTTTGGGACTGGAAGTTCCTGGTTACTGTACAGAAAATAAGAGTTGACAATAATTTTATGTAAAAATTATTTTATGCAATTCTAGATGCACAGTAGATGAATTATGAAGATAACTAATGAGAAGAAATATATTTTTCTATAAAACAGTATTATTTAATATATCTCAAGCATCAACAATCCCTAAAACAGCATCCAGCACATTTTCTGACTTAAAAAATTCAGTTATGGACTGGAAATTATCAGAATTTTCTGCAATAGAAGTAATTGAAGCTTTCTGTACAGCTTCTCAACAAGTTTTATAATGTCCTGATCAAACAGTTGCAAAACTGAAGAGGTGTTCAGCAGAAAAGTTATGTCACATTTAACAAGTTTTAAACTTTTGGGAGAACCAGATAATTATCAAACATTATTAAAATCTTTTTATTTTGTTGTTTCATCATTCTGTTAATAATATTCAACAACTCAATGAATATCTCACTGTATCCATGCTGCTTTATTAACTGTACAAGTAACTGGAAAACTGTCTCCACTAACATTTTTAAAACATCTTGGTTGATTCGCTTTACCAGTCACAAATATTGTTAGCTTCTCATCCATAACACTTTCTGCTAATAATACTGTTAAGTTTCTTTTGCATTTGTCTCATTCTGTTGCTAGTTTTTTTTTATCAGGCACTGCACCAAAAAAGAGTCCACACTCATCCACAGTGAAAATGTCTCTTCAGAGCCTAAAATCATTTCTCTAAACTTTTCTTTGAAGAAATTAACTACATCTTGTGGCACTTCATTTGATTCCCCATTCAGATTTGTTATGAAATTAAATCACTCTTCTCAAAACTATCTAACCATCCACTTGCTGCTTCAAACATCTTGAACTTCAAATTCTTCAAAGTGATGATAATACATAATAAACAGATGGTCACTATATGCAATATACTACACATATTGATCACTATAATGAGCCGGGGTAGTTCAGTCAGTATGGTGACTGGCTACGGACTAGACGACCAGGGTTCGATCCCCAACTGGGGCAGAGGATTTTTCCTCTGGCCTCTGCGTCCAGACCAACTCTGGGGCACCCCCAGCCTCCTATCCAATGACTGTATACACATGGTAATACCAGCAGGTTCAACTGTATATACAGAGTTATTCATAATTCCGTCACATTACTAAATATCGCTAGACTTGGTGCAATGGATGGTAACATAGGACATGCCGATAGAACGAGAAACTCTCCATGCTTAGGTTAGGGATAGGTACTTTATACTAACCTTTAGCCTTTAACAGACAAAACTCTCTTATTAATGACACCACGGCTATTTTGTGGGGAGTAATAATGTCTTTATTTGATCTTTTTTGTATAACACCAAAGTTTAAAATATCTTTGGCTGCTGCCATCCTCGTGTAAGATTTTACAAATGATAAGTAGGCTCTGTATTCGTGTACAGTACACACTTGAACTACTTCTTTCTCATAAAAATGATGAAATAAAATTAACTGGTCAGGACTTTAGCACTCGTTGATATAAAACGATGGTTGCTACTAAGCCCACATACACATGAGAGCTCGTGGTGACTGTAAACATTACAAATTCAAACGCGAATTACCACTTGTATTGTAAGACAATTCGTGCCATTGCATACTGATTTGTTCTGTGAATTTCGATTTATGACATTCAATCACTGACAATACCCAATAAACACATGTTTACGGAGTCATCTACCACAACAAATAAATCACAACCACAATCAAAACTACCCCAACAGATCGGTAAAAGAGATGACAAATAGGCCCTACAACATCACGTAAATATTGTCCTGCCATCTACCCGCACCTCTCATTATATTACGATAGAAAACCACCTTCCGGCCGGCCGGTAACAACGCTAGCTGCCATCCCACTATCCACACCACATGAACAATTAATTACTCTTGAGTGAATTTCATATGAATGACACCTATAATCTTCAGAGGGTATGTGTGTATTTTTGCTATGAAAGATCAATGTTTCAACAAAACTGATATTTTCCATCACTGTAAAGACATTAACTTAATTATATGGAGCTTGTACAGAGTTCCACCAGCTGATTTTCATCAATTTATAAGGGGGATAGATGCTGCTTTAAAGTATCTGTATGTTCCAAAAACCGAATTCTTAATGTGGTGACATAGATGTATACATGTAAACAATCATTTAGTAAATCAACAACTCTTAATTGCAATAGTTGTGCTATATAGACACATGCGTTTCAGTCCTCATCAGTGTCTTGGTTACAATCTTTACAACCTCAGAGGTAATAACAATAAAAAACCAATGAACACTTTTTAAACAAGTATTAAGTTAAAATATTAGTTGGAATGATTGTAGCTTGTTAAGATTTGTAACTATTTTCAAAATATTGCATTTCACTGCTGATAACATCACTTCTCTCTTCTTGCCTTAGTTTCCAGGCATTGCTCACACTGTAGCATGAATATGGAATACCTTAGTGTATCATTCATGTGTCTTGCATTTCTCCCAGAATGTCAGCAACCTGCATTGCCAGGGTCACTGTTGTGCCAAAAATTTAAAATATTAGTTAAGTTTGAGTTGTTACAGTTAACTTTCAGAAATCTGGATCATTCATATTTACCACTATCAAACGTATGTTGTAGTAAACATTAAAAAGCATAAAAATAACGATGATGAATCTAATTATAAGGCAACATGATATTAGCTAATAACATACTTCTGATAATGGTAAATATAAGTGATCCAGATTCCTAAAAATAAATGGTATCGACTCAACAAACTTTCCTGGCCCATCCTTACTAGAATTGTTTATTGTGATATTAATTCCTTCTGTTGGTGGTCTCCAATTTATGCGGCAGCGGTCGTGACTTGCATTGCGTAGTCGGCTGACGCACTGCAGTGTGCGGATTGTTTACATACACTTTTTTCTTCAGCATGCCCCACAGGTAAAAGTCGCATGTAGAAGCAATTAAAGAAAATATTCGACAATTTATTTTGGTAATTTCCCAAGAAGAGCTTCGTCGAGTATTTCGAAACATGTTAACGAGATGTGAAGTTGCCTGCAAGCACAAGGAAGTCACTTTGAACATCTTTTGTGGTTTAAGGTAAAAACAATTAATGTAATAACATGCATCAGTGACGAGAAATATTTGTAGTTCGCTGTTACTAGCGGCACTGAAACTGATTTGCCAGTCACCCACCGAAAGAACGGGCACGACTCCCGCCGACATCAACAGTGCGTCGGCCGACTACGCAATGCAAGTCACGACTGCTGCTGCATAAATTGGAGAACCAGTATGTTCATGTTCACATACCTACATACAGAGAAAAGCAACATTTTGATTGAGATCAGAGCATGAGAAGTACAAAGTTAAAATGACAATCCTGAATAACTTCAACAAAGAACAAACATTCCAACTAATATTTTAACTTGACACCATTAATTTCTTTTTAATGTTAATGCCTATAAGTTTGTAAAGATGCATTTTAAACAAATGGATGTAGACACTGATGATGGCCTCATGAGGTCTGAAACGCATGATTCCATATAACACAACTATTGCAATTAAGAGTTGATAGTATACAAAATGATCAATTACAATCATCACTACACAGTATGAAGGGTTATAAAATTCTCCATGTGACTGCTCAGCTCCCTGGAGATTCAGTCAGTCTTGTAGCTTGGAAAGTCTCTGGATCAGGCCCCAGCTTCTTTGTCTAAGACAAACTCTACCTTACCTGAAAGGAGGGGGAGGGGCAGCATAATCAACGCTCAGGTTGCATAAACTGACCAGAGCTGGCAACCAAGCTTGATGGATAATTCCACTGAAAGTGTTTTTGTTCACCTTTATAGAAAGTTTTACCTTCTTGGATCTTCCAGAATTACGAAACTGCCACCCTCACCCTCTTGCTGTAATAATTTTTGGCTAGCCTATGAAAGTTACTGACCCAACTTAAACTAATCATTCATTCAAGAAGTAGTACAAGTCTTAATTTGGATGACCAATCAGGTCCCATTAATTTGAATTTGTTGTGTGAATGTTACATAATCTTGCAAAAAGGAATCCTTGGTGTTGGTGATGCAACTCACTCTTGGGTCAGTTTTCGGATATAGTCAACACACTTACATGTCGCTCTGCAAAAAGTTCAGTTAATTTCATCACAATTTATCTTATACTAGCAGTCTGACCTTTGGTGTAGATACTGTGTTATGAAGTTTAAATATGCTGTTTGTGTATTTAAACTGCTATGTTGCTACAATTACCAAATAAGCACTCTGTTGAACGCATCCCATGTCCTCACGCACCAAACTCCTTCTAACCAGCCCGGATCCATACCCTACTGCTACATTCATCTTTACTTTTACTAGTGAACGGTGCCCAACCACCCATTTTGATATTCTCATTTAAACGTCATACCAATCAGACAGGAGGATAAATTAATCAAACATTAATTTCTCAATGGAAAGACAGTAGTGGAAAAGTTCAGGTAGATTCTCTTCGACACATATGAAGTGCCTATCAGTGTTTTCCTATTTTAACTAAAATTGGAATGTGTAGAAAGACTTCCCAATATAAAAATACCTGTTCACTGGTTCTTGAGTTCTACACACAGGCACACAGACAGACATGGCAAAGTTAACATGCACAGTTTTGTATCTTGTAGTTGTAAACGAAACTAGACAAAGCAAGATACCTCATCACAAATGCTGACCACTGGGATTACAGTACTCAAGAATTGTGGAAATACTATGGTGGTCACTGCTGTTTGCATTTTTAAGTGACATGCAATTTCAAATTTGCACAAGTTCATAAGTATATAAAAAAAAAACATACTGTTTGTCAATGTGAATACAAGATTACAGTAGTCTGGAACAAAAATGAAAATAAAACATGATATCAGTGAATGTGTTAAATAACTATACACTACATAATTCACAATCCTCCTCCTATTTATCAGTTAAGTGTGATTCAATAAATAAAGAGTATTAGTACACATGATTTTTCTGCAAACAATAAATTTATAGTTCCAATCATATTAGATCTAAACAAAAACTAACAAAGCAATGTCATCCCCTAAAAACAAAGAACTCAACAGCTGCACTGTATCGTGAAGATGATATTCAGCTTGTGACAGTTTTTAACAAGAGTGTGTTAAGTACAACCTGTTCTAAATATAACAAGCTTTTAAAACATTATGAGCTAAAGTAGCAACTACTCGCATATTCTAGAACATGTATGAAAATTCTTGGGCGGGAGGATAGTGATAAGTCAGCAAGTTGTGAAAACTGAGTTAGCTAACTTACCTAAAAAAGAATAAATGTTCTACATGTGAGAATATAGAAGATTAAGCCATGCCTTGTATGCCATATTTACTCGTATATAACACGCACCCTTATTTATGGACTGAAAAATGAAAAAAATAAAATATTAGTGTATAACAAGCTTCTAAATAAATAATATATAAGCTGTAAAAACAAATTAAACAACAGATTATGTAATATGAAATATCTAAAGATTAGGCACTCAGAGTTAGCATTCATAGCTGCAGGTGGTAGTTTGTAATAAAACTGACCCGGATGCACTCATATTTTAAAACAATCGGATGATAGTGTAAATGTTGGTGACTCATCTTTGAAAGCAATAGAAAACACAAAACTGTCTCTGTCTTGCCGTGACAAAACTGGGAGAGAAAAAACTGAAGCACACTGCTTTATATGGCTTGACTATATTGCAAGGGGCAAGGGGCATCAATAACTGAACCTCAAGTACTATATGCAAGTTCTTAACACATGAGCCATAACTGAAACACCCAAGTATTTTGACATACGATGTGGGCAAAATAAAAACAGCCATGCTTCCATTGTACGACTGCAGTTTAAAAATCCAGAACACTGGAAACCATAAAGCACATATTCCTTCTTCCATGCTCACTGACAAAGAGCAATGATGAGTACAGTAAGATAGGGAAAAAGAAATCTACCATCCTCAAACATTGGGTGATACTAGTATAAGAACCCAGAATGAAAGAACTATTCAATATGACCGAGATGATTTTAAGAAATTTTCCTTTCTTCTCAAAGAACATCTACAATTAAATAAAACAAAAAATTGGGAAAAGCTGAATTAAGGTAGCATTGAATTGTTAAATTACAAGAACAAATATCCAGGGGTAATGTTCTACAAAACTAAATTTGATTACAACTCTAGTTCAAAGTAGTCAGCTGCAAGGCAATGGAAATTTAACCTCAGATGCCCAAGGCTACAATAGTTTCCTGTCTCAGCAAAGGAATCTTTTGGCTCTACTTCCTGCATTTTAACAGTCTTCATAGTATTACAAACATATGAAAACTAGTCCTCAAGCCTTCAATGTCAGACCCAATAAAAATTAATTTCAGATGATATGGCTACTTGGTCTAAATACCTTCAACTGAGTGCAGAAGCCTGTAATAAAAATCATCTGGACCTAATTATATTTCATATTATTTTATCCCCCAGTAACATGGTTTTCAAGTGTAACAAGGTTTCATACCTTACTTCTTCAGAATGTGTACTGTAACATATTGTTTTATTTTTGCAAAGTTAGTCATATAAGGTTAGTGAAATTGTGGTAACACTACAAAACATGAAACATGCAGATTTCTGTCTTCTGGGTTGTTTTGCTGTGTAGTCTGGTTGATGTTAACCAACGTTTCAGAGGTCATACTGCCTCCGTCATCAGGGACGGAGGCAGTATGACCTCCGAAACGTTGGGAAACATCTTTGTACATATAATTATAATGGTCAATTATGCAACTTTTATAAATTAAAAA